ATATTAAAATAATAAGTGCTAATATTCTTTATGTTGTTCTACTTTTGAGGCTGTTAGGTAAAGAGCCCAGAAATACACGTTTGCTCTTGTCAGTGAAATTAGGAAGAAGAAGGAAGTAATATTAATTGATAGCCATGCATTGGGCACTTTGTCACACGTTTTCGTTAATCCTGCCAATACGCTCTCTACTTCTAGGCGGTTCCATCCCCATTTTGTAGATGAAGGAAACAGGCTAATGGGGGTGAAGCGACTTGCCCAACTGGGACACAAATGAGCTGACTTCGGCATCTGCCTCCTTCCCCCATGTCGAGCTGCAAGTATTGGGTGGAAATGTCTACAAAGCAGTCCTTTTTGTGTTCAATAAAGTCTCCAGTGACTTCTAGACAGTATGAATAGATGGTTCCTAATGACCCTATTTCTAGTTAAAAGCTGCTGAGGGGCGATTGATATAAACAAGGATCACTTCCATAGTAGAGTATTTTGACTTCCAGCAGGAATTTTGTTTCATCGAGTGAAATCCTTTTCAAAAGGAGTCATGAAATGCATGCTGAGAGCTAAGTTTTTATAGATGACTAAGTCACAGAGAAAGAACATGTTTGACATTGAAAGGGCCTCCTCCTTGATGGAGCCTTACCGATCGTTTTCAAGAGCAGGTATATCTGCTCACACAGCATTTGGCCCCTGTCAGTTCTGCTCTAATCCTGGTTTCCCAGGGCACCCTGTTACCCAAGCATGTGTGAGACCTGCAGTGTGCAGGGCCGGGCCCCTGAGCCCTCTTCTAGGAACTTGGGGTAAATCAGGTAACAGATGTGAAAGTGCTGAGTGCGGGTCCCTCCAGGGAGTAGGGGGGCAGTGACTGCTCGGTGAATTGCAGCCTGAACATTCTGTGCTGGACCCTCCTCCTTACAAGCACCCAGTCTGCACTGTGGCAAGTGTGAGCTTTACCGGATGAAAAGGAAAGCGGGCACAATTAGATAGTCCCTGCGCCCAAAGCCCACAGTGCACGTTCTCTGGGATTTGCCGCTATGAGACTGAGGGTTGTAGCCGCTTCATGGGCATGAGGGTGGGAGTTTTTCCTCAGGCCACCTGTCTGGTTTTGTCCTGCTGCCTGCAGACCCAACCACGGGTCTGATGAAGACTCCCGGCTACCTGCGTCCTCTGCGAGCCCCAGGTCCTGCTTAGTGCTTACCAGGGTCCTTAGGACAGTCTCCTGAACCCACTGGATCAAGGGACTGTAAGCCCAGCTCTTCCAGCCAGTCTCCTTCCTGCCAAAATGCAGCAGTAAAATCTGCCCCGGATTGCAACACTGTTCATTTTGCAGATACTGGCCTCAGCCTAGTGCCAGAATAGCCAAGAGATGAGGGCTCGCTTGCCAGCGGGGAAACCCTTTCTCTCTCCTCTGGCCTTCCTGCTCTCCTGGGCTGCAAGGGGGCGGGGGGAGGGGGAGCCATCCTCAGAGAAGGATGAATGACATCTCATCTGGTCCCATCTATTCACCCTGCCCACACGGAACCACACCCTGGCTGTCGAGGGAGTCTTAAGTCACCCACTTAATTTTTCCATGTAGCTCACACCGAGGAATGGGTAATAGACAAATTACATAACACCTCGAGAGGCATCAGCTCCCGTGCCAAGTGAATTCGCAGCCCAAGCACGTTTCAGATGCTGCTGGGTTTGAAGGGCCCACTCTCAGCTCCATTGATGGGGGGTTTTGGAAAGGACCTGTGTCCAGTGCACGGCTCCAGTGAGCTGGTTTGGCCCAGAAGCCACACGGTCCTTAATTCTGGATCATGGTTCTCATCACACGTTCTGTGGGTTTGCCCTTCTCGCCACAGCTAGGGAGATTCGCAGTCACGTCACAGGTTTGTATTTATAACACTTGCACACAGGAGTGAAGTTTTCTCTCCCACTCATTCTTCTTGCCTCTCAGGAAAGATGGTGCATTGGCGGGGATAACGGATTTTAAAGTAAATGTAGAATTTCTTCTGTAAAAATTTAACTTTCTAAAATAATGAACATATAATAGCAATAGTATGCTTTCTAAATACAATATATCAAAAAAGTGAAGCAGAGTTTACAGTAAGAGTTAAAGGAATGTGAGCTCTTCGGAACTACCTACTCCTTCTCTCAGTGACCCTCAGTTGTCACCATGCATGCTGCCTTTTTCTGATCTTTTAATGGCGATCATTCATTCTTCCTCTTACGTTGCTTCAGCATCACAAGTCCAGGGGCCTCCCTATGTCTGGCGTCCGTGCTCCCCTACAGATTTCTCTCAGAGGAACATGATTCGTAATAGCTCTTTTCGTTCTCCAGGAAAGGCTCTGGGTGGCTTCTTTCTGTGTTCATGGCTTTGGCATCTTTCTACTTCTGTGATTGAAGTCATGATGGAAAAAAGAGCTCCCTGTCTTCCGATCGCCTACCTGGCTTGCTGTCGTCATGTTTCTGTAACGTTCGCTTTGTAGTCTTCTGTTTAAGGCTTTCCTCTGGTGTCCTTCCCCTGCCTGTGAATCTAATAATATGTGAAGTTTGGAGGGAAGGTTGTGCTTCCGCTTAGAAAATCACAGGAGTGTCCCTCCCCCGTAACCATGAGAACAAGCCGGGTCATCTACAAAATCACAGCTATTTTAAGCCCACCGAAGTCACAAAGTAATGTGATGAACTAAAGTCCAAAAAGTGACCAGCCTGTCTTAGGAGGGACAGGCCCACAGCTGCAGGAGGAGGGAGCCTTCGTGGCTGGGAGTAAGAAAAGAGCAGCTGAAAGCTTATAAAGAGAGTCTGAGTGTGGACTGCCGGGCAGTTTAGAATTCCTGGGACTCCAGGCACAAGGGGAATCTTCACACACATGCACACCCGTTTCCACAGACCTCCAGTGAGCTCGTGACAGAGATTGGGAGCAGGACAGGAGTGCTCAGGCATGGCCTGCTGTCATCGGAGGGCAGAACAGGGGGACCTAGAGAGACCTCCACACTGTGGGCCTTGCATTGGTGCCAGGCCATGGCTGCCACCCCCACAGAAGGACGGGGAAAGCTGGGAGAGGCCCTGAGGTATGGTGCAGAGTGAAGTCTGAGGTCCCATTGGGAGGACTGAGAGTGACGCCCTCGGCTCTGGGCCTCACATTCGGTTCCAGGCAGCAGTGTGTCTGGCTGCAGAGAGGTAGGGTCACCTGCCCAGATACAGACCCACTGGGCCTGCTGAACTCTGAGGAGGGAGAACTGAGAGGAATCCCACGGGACTCCAGACCTCACCCAGTTCCATCCAGCAGCTGTCTGCTGTCATGGACACCGGGAGCACAGCAACAAAGAAAGCCAAGACCCCCACCCTCCTGGCACTTACCTCTTAATGGGGAGAAGCAAACAACAGCCATGGCTAACGGTGCTCCAGAGAAAAATAAAACCAGCGGGCTGGGGAGGGTCAGGAGCAGGGCCTGTGGAGCTGGCAGGGGAGCATCAGACAAGGCCTCACCTGGGGTGGCTCTGAGCACAGACGCCACGCAGGGGCCCCGTGGCTGGCCGTGGCACTGGCCTCCAGGAGGAGGGGAGGCTGGAGCAGAGCCTGACACCGGAGCCCCTGGCACGCGGGAGGGACAACAGGGGCAGGGTGGCCGGACTCAGGGACAGGGGGAGAGCAAAGGGAGATGGGGCAGAAATGTGAAGGGGTCAGAAAGGTTGTTTGGGGCCTTTTAGGCCCTAAAGGTGAGACTTGGGCTTTTCCATTAAAAGGTGGTGCTGTGCTGTCAGAGCACTGTTTTCAGTGACGTAAGGTTAGAGTTCAGAAAATGAAGCCCTGTAGCAGACCCAACTGCTGAAAACACATTTGAACGGGTGCAGACACTTCCAAAGCATCAGCACAGGTCCCTCCCCGAGGACTGCATCAAATTTTCTGGAAATCAAGGATATTAACAAATATTATTTATTACACCGTGGAGTTAAGGGTGGTGTTTCCTATTGTATTTCAAGTTAAAAAATAAAGAAGTCATATTAGGACTCCATCTGCTCAGGAATATATTTTTTAATATACACACAAAAACAATCTAGGAGCCTCTACAGGTTCACCTTCCTCACGGCCCCCTTAGGTGTGGGTTTCATTTATCAGTATGTCTTGTTCTGGATCTTAAAGCGAGAGGTATTGTGGGACGCAGGGTGGCCCAGTGAAGGCGGCATGGACATCGGAGTCTCACAGACTTGGGTTCAAGTCCTGGCTTTGAGTGGGGCAGGCTTCTTGCGCTGCCTGAGCAACCCTTTCGTCGTCTGGCGGGCGGGGGCGGGGGTGGGAGGGATCACCTGGCCCCCAGGTGGCTGTCATGTGTCGGGCAGGCTGTGCTGTCCTGCACACGGGACTCCTTACGCAGGCTTGTCCAGGGGAAAGCTTGCCCCTGGGGATGGCCTCTGTCCATCCGCGATCCAACCTTGACGTCTTTGGGCATCTGGGTTCCCAGGTGCAGTCATGAGGTGGTCTCGGCCTGGCCGGAGTCCACAGTGGGGTCCCCAGATCTCCAATAAGATGCCCCCGCCCCTCGATATTCCTTACTCTTGCCTCCTTTTCCCCCTCTGCCCCTCTCTCTGCTTCCTCATAGGAGCCTCCCCGCTGGGATTTGGGCTCCAAAAGTCCTCACTCACAACACCCTCTGTCAGGAATTTGCTCATCCTTTTTAAATCAGTTCTTTAAGTCATCCGTCAGAAGAGCATGGGGCAGAAAACAAACCTCTTACACTTTTAGGCCGGGGTGTTTCCATCTTGACCAGCCAGGCGTTTTCCTTCTCCAGACGCTTATGTGCTACCAGTGATGAAGCCATGATTCTGACATCCTGAGCCCGGGTGGGACATTTCTGTTCACACCTGTTCGTTTCTGCAGTTAACATGGTTCTGTTTTTCTTGTTAACACGTGTCATTCCTGCAGCGCCAGGTGACGAACCACTGCAGCTAATGACTTGCGGGGTCTCATGTGAATGAAATTAGCTCCCCAGCCTCCCTTTAAAATCGGGTTTTCTTTTCTCTCCACAGCAAACCCAAGGAGCCCGTCTTCAGTGCGGGTAAGTCTGATTTCATTTTGTGTGGGTGCCCCTCACTCACCTCCGCAGAAGTGCAGATAAAAAGTAGCTATTTCAGGGACCAGCTTTTCACGCATACAACTTCGGTGTCTGTGTGGCGGGGCTGACTGTCCGCCTGTCCCTGGGCGTCCCGTGGCTCAGCCCCTAAAACGGTCAGAAAAACTAAACCCATTACTGACCCCCTTTAAAGCTGGTTTAAGATCCGTCACTGAGGAGGCAGGGTGACATGCCACCACGCATGCCACACTGGATTTCTAGGTTAAAAGACTTCTGTCGCCTCTGTTATCCCTTCCTCACTAGTGGGGCTCCTTTCATCTACACATGCATTTCTCTGCAAAGGAAAGTTTCTGATGCATCAAGCTATAACTTTGTCTAAAAGTAGCTTTTTTTTCTTTTTCTGTCTTTGATTTCCTAAACTGCAAACTAATAGTTCATATCTACCTGTCCATATATCATTTTTAACACATTTAATAATAAGGTAGATGCTATTATTGGGATATTAACCTTATTTAAAAGAGCGTTTAAAATGCAAAAGGATTGATAAATGTGTAAATTAGTTAAATCAATTCAATTTAATTTTTTAAAGATTTTTATTAAAATATAGCTAACATACACTATTAGTTTCAGATGTACATCATAGTTATTCATCAGTACCCACCTGGCACTTTACAGCGTTATTACCATATTATTGATTATATTCCCTATGCTAAAGAAGTGATCCCATGATAAGTCCAGCAACCATCTGACACCATACCATGTCATCACGTTATTGACTATATTTCCTGTGCTGTGTATTACATCCCCAAGACTTATTTGTTTTATAGTCAATTCACTTCGTTTTAATTTTTTCAGATTTTTTTCTTAAATTCAGAAATGAAACATGAAAGTCAAACTTTCGTGTTTCTCAGCATGTGCTTTAGTCTCATTTTCGGGAAGCGTGAAATTACTCCCTGAAAATGTAATTGCCATAAACCTTCAGACTAGGTCTCGAGTGTACTTGTCCGAGTACCAGCAGTGTGTCCAGGTGTGTCTGCCAGGCAGCAGGTAGCCCCTCTGAGGGCCAGTGAGCACCCTGCCCCTGGAGCGGACAGCAGGCCCCCTGCAGTTCTCCACCATCTCTTTATCTAGCACTTCTGTGTCTGTCTCCGAAATCTCAAGGGAAGCGCCGGGTGACACACTGCAAAGGTAGGCGGCCTCTCTGAAACCTCATAGCTCTCTGAGCAAAGCTGCTACCAGGCGACAGAAACCATTTTCATACAGGCAAACAGAGTCTCTCCTTGTATGAAAATGTTTTGTGATGCAAACCACTTGGATTAAGTTAAAAGCACTTCTGAGCCTTGACTTGGATGGGCTTGAATGAGTAGCTATAACTTGGATCTTGATTGATTATTGGCTGATTACAGGAACATTTAAAAAGTCTGTATAAACCTTAAGAGAGCTATAGGACAGCCCCTGGATGTCCACTGATTGCAATGGTCCCTGCACCGCTGCTGGCCCCTCCCCCAGCACCTGGGGGTATGGTGGTTGTGTGCTGTTATCCTAACATGCCTGAAAAAAGTATTGCTTTCCCTTGCTGCATTTTGATTCTAGACATAGGGTGTCTTGAGTTACCAGTACACGGCAATTCCAAGGCTAAATTCAGTGCTGCTTTTGCCTAGTCCAGTAATTTATATTTGTGCAATAAGTAAGCCTCCTCAGTCAGGAGGACTCTGTAACCAGCATGTAACTACAGAATTCGCAAGTAGGCATTTCATATACCTTGATTAAATACAGCCACAGTGGGCTGTTTGTTTGTGTTCTGGAAGTGGCATCGTGTTCTCTTCATTCCTGATCTGCAGTCTGGGGTTCCTTGCTTACACAGAGAATTGATGGAGTCCTTTTTCAGTTAACTTTAAGCCCTGTCACGCCTGCACCTCTTTTTACTCCTGTCAGCCCGCTGGGTGGGTGCATGTAGGTTCTTCGGTTAGTCACACGGTCGGATGAGCTTAGATTTGGGTGAGGGATTAAGGAAGGGAAGAGGTCTCAGGCGAGGAGACGAGCATGGATGGAGGTATAGAGCAGGGTAGCTGTGTAGGGTCACAAAGAGACACGTCTGGCCAGAGAGGAGAATCCATGTGGGTGGGCTGCTTGTGGCAGGGCAGCTGGACCCTTGAATCCAGCAGGTAATGGAGCAGGTGCAGGATTTTGGGTGGAGACTCAGTGAAATCCAATTTGGACCTTAATGGGTTTGGCAGCCGACTATCAGATGACCTGGAGGGCTGGTAAGAAGCCTGTGCGGACAGGGCCTCAGATGAGCTAGTCCTAGTGGATCTGGGGAGGACGGGGCCAAGTGCAAACATTTAACAGGAAGATCCATATAACACAGGGCAGCGACTGGCACAGTAAGCAGGAGTAAACGTGTACTGGTGGTTATTTAAAAGTCCAACTTCATCTGCAGAGTGAAGAGTGTGTCACATGCATGCATTCAAGACCTGAAGTGCATGCACACAGTAACAAAACTGGGGTGGCCTCTTGGTTTTTAGGCAATGTTGCATGTGACACTGTTTGGAAATCCTTAGGAATAAGACTGACAAAACTAACTTGTAAATGTGGTACCTAACGGTACTGGAATGATTTCATGATGCTCCCTCACCAATTTCCTCTCTGCGGATGATTTTCCCATTGAGTGCTGTACAGCTATCCTGGTTCCAACTCTCCTATTTTAGTGCCACTGAGGCCTGTCCTTTGACCTCCAGAAGCATGAGAATGTGGCGCATTCTGAATCAACCAAATTCATCAGGAGCTCACAAGACATTTTCTTTGGTCTTCTTACGTCCTGAAAATGCTAGGCAGAAAACCCCCAGCTGCTCTTTTTTAAAAGTCCAGGAGTAGGGCCGGCTGAGTGGCTCAGTTGGTTAAGAGCTCGCTTAAGAGTTTGAGCTCTGAGCAACAGCGGTTCGAGTCCCGGCCCAAGCTGAGCAGCCACTGAGCTGCCAACAGGTGGCAGGATGGCTCAGCTAAAAAAAATGTTTAAAAGTCCAGGAGTTGCCCCTTGTTGCTATATTATTGAGTTTTACTTTTGTCCCCACAGTTTATGAAAACATTGAAAGTTATTTTATTATCAAAATGTTTGATCTAGAAAGTTTTATTTTCCAGTTCCTCTCTCTAATGGGTCTTTTTCATTTCTGACTTTCCTTTGAGCCACCTCCCGTTTTGCATGCATCCTAGCATGTACTGCTGCTGACTTGGGGGTCTTTACACTTGAAAGAATCGTCCAATGTAAAAGATATATAAAGATACATTTTTACATTGCGATACAACAAGCCACTTTAAATATTGAAGGATACTTTATGAATTTTGATTTTGAAATTGTATTTACATTGAAGTCAATAAATGTTTTCAATGGATTTCTTGAGTTTGTTGTAATTTGGAGGGCTGGCATTCCCCCCCCCCCCCGCCCCGATGATAAAGAAAATGTAAGCACTAAAATAGCTCATGGAAAAATAATGGAATCTAGTTCTTTCCTGCTTTTTTACAATTTCTTGTCTAGTTCATGGACTTAGGTAAGCAGAGTTTTAAAAGTAAACAAGATGAAGTTAGATTTAATTAGAAACGACAATAAAGGGTAAAGATTTCACTTTTCTAATGAAAGGCTAGAGAAGGCTTAGCATAGCTTTAAGGCACATTGGGCACTGAGATGTCTTACTGACATCTTCGTTCTTTTTGTAGAAGAAGGATATGTAAAAATGTTCCTCCGTGGACGCCCTGTCACCATGTATCTGCCCAAAGATCAAGTGGATTCCTACAACTTGGAAGCAAAGGTGGAACTGCCAACCAAGAGACTCAAGCTGGAATGGGTGTATCCTTTTATTCATTGATCAGGTCTTACACCTGATCAGCTGAAGCGATCAGTTGATGAATGCTTTTGACTTGAAGGTTAACTGTAGAATTTCATAAAACATAAGTGTTCTTACGCTTACAAAAGAGCAAAATATTCTACTTTCACTTAAAAAAATTAATTTAACAAAATTGGCCACGTGTCAGAACCCAGTTCTGTGTCCTAGCAAGGGAGTTCCATAAGAGCTACTGATTATGGGGACAGTGACTTGTCATTCCTGAGCAAAATATTTGTGATTCTTGCTCAAATAACATATACCATACTTTCCTGAAAAGATATACTAAAATGTCATATGATTGATTTTTTTTTTTTTTTTGCGGAGGGCGGAGAGTCATGGGACTATGCATCACAAGCATCTGGCCTGGATTTTAATTTTTCCGACAAAATAAAGTTAGTTAAAAACATAGAAAAGCAAGTTTAGCAAAAATCACAATGGGTAAAATTTTAGATTCGAATGAAAATAAAAGGGCTGTTAACTGTCATCTACTTAGTCAACTCTTCAGGGGCCAGTGGAAAAGCCAGGAGCTTTACACGTTTACAAGGAAACAGCAGTTGAAAATGAAAGGAAATACTGAATTTGTGAAGGAGAAAGTGAGATTATCAGAGATAGACACTTTACTGGGCTGGCAAAACGTTTCTAAACCGGAAGGAAGAAAGAGCCTCCCCTCGAAGGAAGCACTGACATTCCTCCTCAAACCGAGTGGGGACCCTGCCAGCCGTGGGGGCTGACTTCCAGATGAACACTGACAAACTGAAGAAGTAACGTAAGAATACGAATACTCAAGTACTAAATGAACGAGTACAATTAATGGCATCGCCGAAATCGACGTGGAACATAGATATATTACCACTTAAAAATATAACAGGAAAAAGCTTCCCGCCCCCAAAATCTAGGCCACAAAAATCTCAGTCAGCCATATGACTAACCGTTTTGAAATAAAGCTCTTGGAACATAGTATGGGATTTGGAAAGTGAACGAGTTTCCGAGGAGAAAACACTGACAGACAGGAAAATAGAGCCTGTGAGAAAGGGGAAATTAAGTGTTGATTTATTTTATTTTATTTTATTTTATTTTATTTTTCACTTTTTGTTTACTTTTGCTTCATTTTACTATTTTATTATTTTATTTTATTTATTTATTTTTAACATTAGAGGACACCTACAGAGGCCACCTTCCAGTCCATGCAGATTTTAAGACAAAGAGCAAAAACGCTTTCTCTACCCTCAAGCAAATATTTATTGAGTACCAGTTTAATGTGATGCTCTGAACACAAGTCATAAGTTCATTTCAATTGAAGCTGTTGTAATTTCAGTTAGAAGAATTTCTACTGTATTTGAAATTATGGAATCATATTCTTTGGATGTTTTTTAGAATTATCATCTATAGGTAAATTTCTCCTCCCAAAAATATATATTTTTTTTATGCTTTCAGATTCAGATGTCATAGCATTCACCTGCACCTGTTTGGAAATCTATTTTGGCACACGTAATTGAAGTGATTCAGCTCTTCTTTAAGTCAGTAATTGTTAAATTGATTCCATCAGATCTGGAAAGCATTATTCAAAGCACATTTGTTCAGTCTACTCCCTGTTCATATTTTAGAAGATATGAAACAGTGGCATTTGCTCCAAATAAATGGTATTTTTTGCCGGGTTATTTTTTTCACATCCAAGTTCATGTGACGTTTTGCTCTCAAAATAGTTTTCAAGGTTTGGAAGTGTATCCATGCCAAAATATTAACAGAAGTAATTAGCCTAAGAAGCTGGGAATGGTTGGGGCAAGGAAGATCTAGATTTTTTTTTTATAAGTACTAATATATTTATTATGGCATAAAGTAGTATTTTATACATTAACTCAATGTTATAGTAAAAACATTTTATGTACAATTGTAAAGAAGACCTAAATTTTTTACCTTTGTGTGTGTGTGTGTGTGTGTGTGTGTATGTGGTTTGCATCTTTTACAAGTACGTTTGTAATGTAAAAGATTTAGTTCTAAGATTACAGTAAAAAACTTATGATTGACTTCACTGAAGTATATAAAAGTCAATTATCAGTGTCTTAAAATTTCTTTTTAAATACTCTAGAACATAGGGAATGTCACAGCACAAAGTTTTTTCCTTGGAATAGGACTGATAACCTCACACTGCTTAATATTTGGAATAATAGTAACAACATTTTCACAAAGATTTAGTTTTCCAAACAAGCTGCAAAAGCCACCAACTACAATTGGGATGCGATTGATTTCGCAGTCATGATTCTAGAACCAGGCTGAGTCTCTCATTAATTCACAGAGTAATGGCCATTTCGGTTCCCAACCGTAACTTCCTGTCTCAAGAGGACAATGAGTTAAAAGATGACAGATCCACTCGGCTCTGTTGTTCCTTCTGACTCTAGCTCCCAGAGCCAAACCCTTGCCTTTAAAAGAGCTGATTTGAGAGGGAAAGTGAACACACTATGGACTCCTGTGATAGTTCAGTAGATCTGAGCAAGCAGTGTGATAACGTTACACAGGAAAGGCAGCAGAAAGGAAAGAGAAACAAAAACTGGTATGAAACGTTCCAGCATTGCTGGGAATTAGCATAAAAATACACCTTCAGGTGAATTTAATTCTGGAGTCAGGCTGGTACGGTTTGGCAGAATGGTTTGCTTGTCGGCCTTTCAGAACACCGGCTGGGCAACACTGAAAGGCAGACAAGGTGGGAAGAAAGGCATCCACATAAAATGCCAACAGTTCAGCAAAAAAAGTGGTTTCCTGGCTGTTGCTTCCCAGATCCGTGATTGATGGACTAAATTGAAAAGAGTTCATCTCCCAGTAACTTGACGAATTCTGATCCAGTTACCTTTCGTAAATAAAATACTAAGTTATCATTTTTGATCAAGCTGAAAAATTCAGCTTTCAAAATATAATACTTTCTAAAAGCAAAACCACATCTTCGTACTGTTAAAAGTACTGTATTTTGCCATGTATAATATACACTTTTTTGCCCAAATTTGTGAGGGAAAAATAAGGATGTGCATTATACATGGGTAATACTTGTTCCATATCTATATAAATGTTTTTAATTCTTTTATTTATACTTATGAGTTAAACGTGTAACTCTAGAAATCAATAATGATATCCAAATGCAAAATAACACCCTGAAATATGATAACCAGTTTTGTTGAACTTAACAGGAACTTGCAACAAGGAAGAGTCCTTAGCCTTCTATGATGCGTAAATATTGTAAATTTGTTACCGGTACATAAAATTTCTTGTATTTTGTAGCTATTCTTATGTTTTGTAATTATTTATTACATAAAATTTCTTATACCATAATATGTTTAAAAATAAATGCTAAAATTCCTTTATAATACAAAAACAAGTACCTAAATTTAAGCAAATAAAAATTTGAATTAAAAAATTGAAACATTTTTTTCCCCTGAAAGTTTGGCCCCAAAACATGGTGCGCATTATACACAGCAAAATACGGTATATATTCACATTAAATCAATGACCAATTCCAACTTTATTGCCTGCCTATATGGCGGGGGGGAGGGTCAGATATATTTGGCAGAGTATTTACAATTTAATGTTATTTAAATTTGTGAAATTGGTGGCAACAGTCACATCGACTTTTATTGCCTATGCCTGTTCAATAAAGCTGATGCTTTGTCAGATGTTAAAATGAAAGAAAAATTTGACCTTGACATACACGAAGCTATGGATACAGGGGCCGCGACTGTCGGAATAACCTGTACCTGCTTCCGACGGGTGAGACGGTATATTTCATCGCGTCAGTGGTCGTGTTGTACAACGTGGAGGAACAGCTTCAGAGGCATTACGCTGGCCATAATGACGACGTGAAGTGGTGAGTCCTCCAAAACTGGGGTGCCTGTTACACTTGTGACACAGTCTTAGCAGAAAGGAGGTCAGTGAATTTGTCTGAAACTAATTACATGAAATACTTCCATTTTTATCGACCTGCTGTCTTCCAGCATACATGAATGCTACCATTTTCAGTAACATCAAATTGTAAATATTAACCTTATGCTATTTTTCATTAAAATTCTACACCGGGGGAGAGGTAACAGGACCAGTGGAAATCAGACTACTATTATGTAAATACACTTAAGTGGAACAGTCTTCATCTTTTTTTTTTTTCAGTGTTAAATAACCTTTAAAAGTTCCTCAAAATTAGTAGGAAGCCATTTGTTCCACCCTCTAGTGCAGCGGTTCTCAACCTTCCTAATGTTGCGACCCCTTAATACAGTTCCTCATGTTGTGGTGACCCCCAATCATAAAATTATTTTCGTTGCTGCTCTATAACTGTAATTTTGCTACTGTTATGAATCGTAATGTAAATATCTTTTTGTTTTCCGATGGTCTTAGGAGACCCCTGTGAAAGGGTCGTTCGACCCCCAAAGGGGTCACGATCCACAGGTTGAGAACCGCTGCGAGTGGATTAAAAGTGTGTTTCAGTTTCTGACATTGAAATAGAGAAAGAAAGGGATCTGAGAAAATAGGATCTTTGGGGAAAGCTCTTCATGTGTGTATCGTTTACTAGCTACCTGGCTCTCTAAGACACCTTTATAGTTTTCTATCCTTAAAACACATCATCTTAACGAACCGTATTACCTAAACCAGTAGCTCTAATAGACCCCTGTTTGGAGGCCTTCATACATCTCATGCTAACAGCTTCTAATTTGGGTCTTTATTTTTTAATACAAATAAAAATGTTTTCCCTCATGTTTATGCCTGGGCCTGCTTTTCTCATAATTCATGTACAGCTCTTGGTGGGGTTTTATGTATCTTGGAAGGATGGATGGGTGAAACAATGGATTTATGTATTTCTATTTGTCCTAGGTCCCTGGTCAATTATAAAAGCCCTCTTGGGGAAAGATGATATCTTTGCTGTTTGCTATATTCAAAATGACTTCTCAGTAAAGCTTGCAGACTAATTAAGTGGTTCTGAGATTGAAATGGTATTTTGCAAGCAAAGAATGCCTTTTCCTTGAGTTTGAAATTTCTCTGGAGGTGAAGGAATTGAGATGAAATGAAACAGGCGCGAATTGTCTGAGGCCATTGGTTTGCTCAGAGAGTTCATCACCAGCCTATAAAGAAGTTAGGCATTATGTATTTCTTACATTTAAATTTTCAACTAGGGTATATCTGATCAAGGAAAAAGTAAAGCTTACTTTTAAAGAGTAGGTACTTCATAAATGTCCTTTTTTTTTTAGCCTAGCAGTTCATCCTGATAAGATCACTATAGCAACAGGACAAGTCGCAGGCACGTCTAAGGATGGAAAAGTGAGTTACATTATCTTTTCATATTTTTGTATGAGCTGGTAACACAACAGAACATTGTGCTGATGAATAAGCCTGCTTAGGTATAAAGTATCTGAATACTTCTTAATCCCTCATTAGAATATTTTATTGCAAATTAAAATTTTTCCAGTGACCTAAAAACCCTTTGAGTTCACCTTAATTTCAGACAGTTTTTAAATAGCATTGTTCTTGCCTCAGAATTCATTAATTCTTAAGATATTTACATACATGATAAACATTAAAATAGTAAGTACGCATTTAATAAGTAAAATTGAAACCATAATGAATAATAATTTGATATGGGCGTTTTTGCCTGTTCCGCGAATTTCAGGCACCCTCTGTGGGAATCCCTGTTTATGACTTCAGCCCATGGAGTTTGTATCTGTGTGTGATCCACAAAGCCTGTGAGAGTTTTATCACAAATTCTGTAAGCACTTCAGCAAGACTTTAATTTGTATTTTAAAGAATCAGGGCTGGCCGAGTGGCGCGTTGGTTAAGAGCTGGCTTGGGACACCAGAGGGCCCCGGTTCGGATCCCACATATGAGGGCCAGTGACACTGCCCTCCACAGCTAAGATGCTGAACAACAGCTCAACTTGGAGCTGGGCTGCCCTGAGTCGCCGGCAACGGCATAGGCTGCAGCCACTGCTGCAGTGGGTTGCCATGGGCTACTGTGTGTAGCCAGCAGCCAGCGTGAGCGGCCAGCAGCCGCTATGAGCGGCCATCCAGAAGCCGGCGACTGATCTGCCTCACAAGGGAAGAGCACAATGATGGTGCCAACTTGGGCCAGTGAAGCAGCGTCCTCCACAACTAGACTGAAGAACAAAAGGACAGCAGTTCCCCAATTCTGTTCCCATCCCCCAATTCCCCAATAAAAAATCTTTAAAAAAAAGAATCAGAGGGCCAGCCTAGTGGCTCAGTTGGTTAAGAGCACACGCTCTGAGCAACAGGGTAGCCAGTTCAATTTCCACATGGGCCAGTGAGCTGCGACTGAGTTGAGCTGCCACTTAGCTGCCAAGAGGTGGCAGGATGGCTCAGCTGGTGAGAGCACGTGCTCCTAACAACAAGGTTGCCGGTTTGACTCCCTTGTGGGAAGGTGGCTACGCCCACCCACAACTAAGATTAAACACAGCACCTTGAGCTGAGCAGCTGCGAGCTGCCAATGGGCGGCCAGATGGCTACCAGTCTTGGAGCTGAGCTGGCTGCACCCTCCACAACTAAGACTGAAGGACAACAACTTGGATGTTCCCCTTCCCCAATTCCCCACTGAAAAAAAAAAAGTTAAAAAAAAAAAAAAGAATCAGAGAGGGAGCTAATGGACAATGCACAACTGGCTTCTAGTTATCTGTTTACAACAGGCTCGGGTCATTGTCGTGTCTTATCCAAAACTGGTGGCTTTTTTGATGTCTACCTTAGTATAGCTTATTATTGCACAATGTATGATCTGAAACTAGTTACATATACTTCCACTTTCCTCAACATGTTTTCTTCCAGCAAACATGAATGCTACCATTGTTCAAAAAATACTTCAATAACATCAAATTTTAAATATTAACCATATGTAATTTTCCATTAAAATTCTACACCTGGGGAGAGGTAACAGGAGCAGTGGAAATCCGACTACTATTATATAAATACACATAAGTGGAACAGAGTCATCACCTTTTTTTTTTTTTTTTTTTAATGTTAAATGACCTTTAAAAGGTCTTTGAAATGAGTAAGAAGCCATTTGTTCCTCCCTCTAGTGGATTAAAAGTGTATTTCCATTTCTGGCCTTGAAATTAATGAGAACTTTAGAGCCAGAGAAAATGTGATGTGATCGTCATATGAGCCACCCCTTTCAAGTTACATGTGGAGAAATCCACAGAGGCCGAGAGACTGTACAGATGCCCAGCTACTTAGAGACAAGTTCCAACTGGAGCCTAACCGGCCTGCACCTGACCCCACTCTGTCCCCTAGAAGCGATACAAGGCCTTTTCTTGATAAACCTCCTGATGGTTCTGGAATGCTTTCTTCTATTGAGGAAAAGAAAAATTAGTATTAAACCACCTTGGAACACAATTGAGAGGGGTTTAAACTAAATTAGAACAATTCGAAATTCTACTTTTGCATAATTGATTGCCCGTTGTGCTTCTGTGGGGCCCAAGGACCCCTCAAAACTCTTCAGTGGCGCCCCAGTCCTACTGAATCCACACACACTTACACCGTAGTAGTAATACACACTTTATAAGAATGACCCTTGTATGAGATGAGATTCCATTTTCCTTCTCCTTTTTCATTTTTAAAATCCAGACACATCCAGATGTACAAATTAGAATATCCCTGTGGTTATCAAGAATTGGCTATTCAAAATTTAAGACATTGTAGGCCTAAGGTTAAATCAGTCACAGCAGCCATGACCTCCTGAAGCCTCAGGAATCTTCCATTTACGTTAAAAGAATTCTCAAATTGCAGAAAAAGACCTTTTGTTTTGACAAAACTGAAATAACCATGTAGCTTCAAGGTAAAGATAAATTTGTGTCACCATCACAATTGGTGACCCTGCGTTTCTTTTCTACACAGCAATTGCCCCCACATGTCCGCATCTGGGATTCCGTGTCGTTGAATACCCTGCACGTCATCGGAACTGGGTTTTTTGACCGAGCCGTCACCTGCATTGCATTCTCCAAATCTGTAAGTATGAGCCCTGTGGACTCTGCAGCCTTGGCCCCCAGGGAGGAGAGAATCAGCTCAAGGCTGAGGAGGAAGAGAGTTAACACCCTGGGTGATGGCCTGCCAGGGTGTGTGTGCAGATGGAACTCTGAAACCCGCCTGCTTCCCAGGCCCCCTCATTCAGACAGAGGTCACACACCTCCAATCAGATTTTTTCCAGCCCCATGGGTGTGGCGATGGCAAGAGGCCCTGCAGCCACACTGTTTTGCCTGCTCTGGCCTTGAATTTCAGCTGCCCCTCCCCAGGTTGCCCCAGCATCTCTCATCCTCCCAGAGGCTGGCTCGCTGTCTGTGAGCAGAGCAGGGCTTGGACGGGCCGCGTGGCCTCCCAGGCTCGCTTAGGACGTGCCTGCGCCACAGACCCACCCTTCCCACCACTTCTTCAGCCAGTTCAGAAACTTACAGTCCGGGCACACAGACGTGTCTGCATCCAAACAGCACACGCCTCACCCCCAGGGCCCTCACTCCTCGTTCACCCTTAGTGACCCGTCAGCGGTTTGTACCGGGCCTGTGCTGAGCTGCGGGCACGGTCCCCGCCGGGAGGAGGGCTCTGCAGCCCCTTTGGAGGCTGGTTTAATGGAACTGCTGGTGGAGAGCCACCCCGGACCCCTCTCTCCGGCTCCTGTCCCTTCATCACCCCTGCTCCCCCTGTCTGTCTGCCCAAGTAAGCAGGTTTCAAAAGCAGCGGGTAAATATTCTTTAAAGTGTAGCGGACTCTTTATGAAAAATAAAATGAATGTTCATTGTGAACCGCGCTCACCCTGTTTTATTCTCAAGTGTAGTCTCCCTGTGAAACCCTTTGTTTTCCAGAATGGAGGAAGCAACCTCTGTGCTGTGGATGACTCCAACGACCACGTGCTGTCCGTGTGGGACTGGCAGAGAGAAGAAAGGCTAGCAGACGTGAAGGTCTGTCCAAGCCTGGTGCGGGCTCTGCTCTGACTTTCCCCCTGGGCGCCTCTCATCCCGCTGGCTGCCGGCCCCCATTCCCCATGCGGCCCTCAGAATCCCTTTCCTTCACCAGAGTCCTTGGACCCGGCCCCTGTCCCCAACAAGGAGGCCATGCCCCGGTCCTGGCAGGGTTTCCTTCTCTCTTCACAGTGTCTGTAAGGGTTTTCCCGACTTACAGCCACGATTCTTTTAATTTGTTCCATCGTTCATTTGTTCATTTTTTCTTGCTTTCATTCAATAAATGCCAAGGGTCCCCTGTGTACTCGCATGTCAGGAAGCCCTGGAGGTGTGGTTAATTCTGAGATGTGCTCGCTGCCCCGCCAGGCAGGGGCCAGGAGGGGAGCAGGCTGAGGGCTGGGGTCAGGGTCAGCACAGCCAGCGTGGGGCTTGTCCAGAGCTGAGCGCCCTCGGGAAAGATGAACATATGCCGCTGCCAGACCCCAGTCCCTCCAGTGGGACTCTGCCTGCAGTGGTGCCTTTGGGTTTTTCTTTACCACCTCTAGTCCATTCTGTATAATATGTCAATGAACTTTCCTTAAGCTTTCTTATGTTTTTCTTCTGTTAAATCAGGGTTCGGTCTGTTTTATAGAATTGACTTTAGATTTCTCATCCTGGCATCCATTAACCTAAGATAACCTTACATCCCTAATAGTATGCCTCTCACCGGATCACCCTACTCACCTACCATTAGGATCACCATTGGATCACATGACATACCTAACTTTCTTGCATGTTGGGATGCATCCTTTGTGTGCTAATTTGTCATGTTTCCTAATACCTGTTTTCATGCTATAGCCCTGCCTTCTAATATTCTGGTCAAGTATTTAAGTTATTGCTATGTTACTAGGTTGGATATAATCAGAGGCAAGTTATTATCCAGGTTTAAAAAGGTATAACTGAATTATCAAGTAAAAGGAACAATCATGGCCTGATTCACCCAGGATGCAGGTCCTGGAAATCCGATAACAGGTGAGGGGTAGTGAGGTACAGCCGAGGAGCTGGATCTCCAGCTCGGTACCGACCCACCGGCACAGCCCCAGGAACTGCACCAGGCAGGACTCCCAGGGCAAACATGGTGGCCAAAGTGAGCCAGGAACCCTGGCGCCGTAGAAACTCCAGATTTCTGGGCCCTTCCCGGAGGTTCCAATCACTAGATGGGGTCAAGGCCTGACATCTGCATTTAACACACATCAGCTGATTTTGGTTGTTCAGCTAGGGCTAGGAAACCGTGCTGGGGAGAGGAGAGCAACTCTGGCGGTTCTTAGGACCCCAGCTGCTCCTGAGCCACTCCTTCAGCGAATGCGTGAGAAGTGCTGAGAAGCCCACCTGTGCACTGTCGTCAGGCTACAGTTCCGTGGGGGAGACAGACGAGGAGAGGCTAAGCCCACAGCAAACCTAAGTTCAGTGTTCATAGAAGATAAATTCAGTGGGGGAAAATCTAGAGGCCAGGGCCTAACTTAATGCATTATTTATTTGTGGTTCAGATTTTATTTTCCTAAGTGTCTTAAGAGATTTGGGACATTTGACTCTCCCTGTTTCGCTCAGTGTTCTAATGAAGCTGTATTTGCGGCGGACTTCCACCCCACGGACACCAATATAATAGTCACCTGTGGAAAATCACATCTCTACTTTTGGACGCTAGAAGGAAACTCCCTCGTTAAAAAGCAAGGATTATTCGAGGTACAATTAAATGGCCCATGTAGTTTTATTTTTCACTGAGTGTACTTGTGGTCAGCCACTTCTCGGGCAGCTTTGAGGCATCATCTTAGAATGTAATTGGCCAATGTGGGGGTGTAGTGACAGAGACTATTCCTGGGGCCCCCCTAACAGAGTTGGGGAGCCCCTTGTGTCTCATGGATGACACCAGTGATGCCAAGAAGGAAGGATGGGCCAACACAGGGAAGAAAGAAGGCACTCAGGAGGTCAGTCGGGCAACACATCTTTGCAAAGGGTGCTAGACACTCCCTGTGCCTTTTAGTCTGACCACTTGGGGACCTTGTGACAGCATCTCTTCTCTGTGGGGATATTTGTCACTATACCCGAAGGCTGTTAGAGGACTTCTTTATACTGGTGCCAGGGCCCCTGTTCCTGAGGCCATAGTCGTGACAACACAGTCCACCCCTTAGGCCTCTCCAACACCCTCCTCAGCTCAAACTGTCTGCAACTTTGTAAGTACTGGGAGTTTCTTTATTTTAGAGCAGATAATCTCATGGTATAAGTGACGTCATAGTAGATAAAAATGAAAGGCATGCAATGTGGTGACAAACTGACGCTATCCTGCTTGGGATTACAGTGAATCTAGATATTATTAATACAAACGAAAGCATGCCTTGACTAAATATATGTATATATTTACAATATTCTGCAGAAGCAAGAAAAGCCAAAGTTTGTCCTCTGTGTGACTTTTTCTGAAAATGGTGACACCATTACCGGAGATTCAAGTGGCAACATCTTGGTATGGGGAAAAGGTAACAGCTGATTGTTCTCACAGCAAACATTTTTTGATAACGGTGTAACAGGTCAAATGTGACTTCATATAAGAATTGTCTACTCATATAATCTACAGGATTGCTATTCCGAGTTATGTAGGAATATACATGATATGTATGCATGTGTCACTTGAAGCCATAACACTAGCACGGAGGAAAACAAGAATGGTTAGAGTTAGTTGACAGTTCATTGATCTTCTGTCATTCTGAAGGCTCATTAAGTCCAAGATATTATGATGGAATTAACAGCTTTATTAGGAGCTCTGTTAACAAATTATAATGATAACGTATTCAGTAACTATTATAAAATAATTCAATACCTGTTATGGACCCCGTAGCATTTGGCAGACATTACTGAGCACTAATTATGCGCGAGGCAGCGTACTAGAAGCTGTGGGCACACAGGTGGGTCAGACCCGAATTCCCCACTGTCAGAGAGCAAACATGTGGTAAGCAGGATTCTTCCCTCCGAAAACATCCATTCCGTTAAGCTCGATGAGCATTTGTGCACGCTTCCCGTGTGCCAGGGAGAAAAGGGAAAGGACACCGTCCCTGTCCTCAGGGACCTCCGAGTTTGGGTTGGGGGTAAGGGTGGAAACAGCCCATCAATGTAATTTCAGACGAATTTGGTGATTTCTGTAGTACCCCCGCTACTCGGGGTGCTGGGTGCTCTTGAGGTGGTTTCCTTTCACCCTCATCATGACCCTGGGATAAGCAGGAGCCCGTTACACAAACAGGGACCTGAGATGCAGGGCAGTTAAGTCACGGTCCAGACACCCAGCGCATCAGCCTCTAGCCCCCTGTCCTCCCGCTGTGCCCTCCGCACGGTGCTTTGGGTTCGCGTGCCTTCCTTAATTATGAAGTGATCCAGTCCGTGCTTGCCTGGTGCTCCGCGAACTTGGAGAGACCGATTCCTTTGCAGAGTCACACCACAAACGATGTTCTAATCCACAGTGTCGATTTTAACACAAAAGCAAACTTCGGTGGGCAGAGGTGAGCCTTTCTGTAAAATACTAAGGATGGTCTCCTTGGTGTGTTTAGGTACGAACCGAATAAGCTATGCCGTTCAAGGGGCCCACGAGGGTGGCATTTTTGCACTTTGTATGTTAAGGGATGGCACGCTGGTCTCGGGAGGAGGGAAGGATCGCAAGCTCATTTCTTGGAATGGAAACTATCAGAAACTTCATAAAACTGAGGTAAGACAGCAAGTGGTGCTATTGAAATCCATTTTGAACATTCAGTTGTTATTCTAACCAGTTTCCTTGTAAGTTTGAAACCTGTAGCATAGTTTTGAAAACTGTTTAGATAAAATTTTATGAAATGGGATATTTCATTAAAATCATGGAGGCGGTTTAAGTGCAACTACTAAAGTGGAATTAGATTTATAAAATTTGATGTTGTAACATATTTCACATTTAGGATACTTTTATAGTACAACCAATCTTACTTTTCCAAGGAAATATTATCTATATTTTGGTTTATCTTTGAAATCTTCTTTTTCACTTTAACTTCCAGTGTGTTACTTTGTGGAGACAGTATCGCTTTGAGCTAATATTTATTATCTCCTTTGTACATGGCTCAGTGCCAACACAGTATCTAGAGCTCTGCGTTCTTCTTTCGTATCTGTTTCACCTCCTTATTATGTGGGTAGCAGCTTGCTTTCCGAACGGTAGGAGCCAAAGGCAAGAAATTTAACATTCCTTCTACACACTCACTGAAGTTTCTCCCCCAGACCCCAGGAAATTATGAGCAGACAGATGTCAAGGTCAGCCTCAACCTGAAGGTTGATGGTCGTCATCCCTAGCATAGAGTGAACATACTGTAGAACTTTTCCAACTTCTAAGTCGGATGCACACAACACATTACATCCTGTAACGCATGTTACATCTGAGAGCCGCTGGCACCGTGCTTTGGCTGTGGGAGAATTTGGTTTCACTGATTCTTGCTCTTAAGAAAGGAAGCCCTTCATCTGAGCTTGGAAATTGCTTCCCTTCCATGGAGATTTTAACCATCACAGCATTTATTTTATTTTATTTATTTTTAGAAATTTTATTGGGGAACAGTGTGTTTTTCCAGGACCCATCAGCTCCAAGTCAAGTAGTTGTCTTCAATCTACAATAGTTGTGGAGGGTGCAGCTCTGTGGCCCATGTGGGAATCGAACCGGCAACCTTAGTGTTATGAGCCTGTGCTCTAACCACCTGAGCTAACCACTCCCCACCCCCAGCATTTTTTTATCACAAGATTTGACCAGCATTTGTTTGAACCCACGTTAAATTATAGCCTTAAGCAAAGCTGCACAGCCTCACCCAGTTTCATAGAAGACACTCACCATTTTTGTAACATCCGCTATTCCTCTCCACTAGCCTGGATTGACATCACCTGTTCTCAGATCTGTGCTAACGGGCACGCTAGAGGTCGAAAGTGTGCATGGGAGCAGGCTGCTTCGTCCCTTCCTACAACGGGCGTATTGACAGTCAACCACCAGGGTCTGGCTGTGGCTTTTGTTCTTTGGACAGTGTGAAACCCTCCACTTCCTTTATCCTAGCGAGTTGTCCGTGGCTGGTGTATTTTGAAATTATTTTTCTTCACATGTAGATAATTCCATATGTTTACCAACATGAACAACGGATTTCAAAGCTAAAGAGAGCGAAATTGCCAGACAACTCACCATTTCAAGTTACAGTAAATTTTAGGAACTCGTATTATGGCACATTGTGTTATTCTTTACTTTCCAATATTTACCTGCCACTGCTAGGCAAGGTCGTCATAAGTAAAGAGTAAACTAACCGGTAGTGTTTCTCACTTTTTAATCTTGTCAAGAAAAAATGCTTTCTTCTTTATTATAATTTTTTTAACGACATTACTCTTGCTGATTCTTTTAAGGCTTATAAAATGTTCGGAGTTTAAATGTAAGTAAGATTTGGGGTTTTGATCATTCATACAACAAGTACTGGTTGTGGACCTTTCTCTCTCTCTCTCTCCGTGTGTGTGTGTGTGTGTGTGTGTGTGTGTG